AAAATGATAATTTAGAATGTTATATAACGATATACCAGACTGTTATATTTCTAAGGTCAAAGATATTCACGTAGTTTCCTTTTAATCGTTACGTAGCTATACAATAGACACACAACACTTAGCGTACAAGGTACGCTATTAAGTATACTAATAAAATAAAGGAATTATCACGTAGTATAGATCCATTTGAAATTGAATCGTCTCCTTTTGGTTCTTTGCCAAAATATTCTGTATGCAGGCGTGACGCTTACACCCTTCCATTATGGTACCTCTCATCTTTTGTTACTCAATTCTTCAGCTAAGCTATATCTAATTTCACTAACACAATAAGGAAATAGATTTTTAACAGTTTAAAATAGAACCGAGTGACCTATATGAAGTATCTATTCTAGTTCTGAGCGCCTGTAACCTTTAGAAAATTATTTATTAATATCTTGGTACGTTCTATTAGTTATTATTTGCTTTGTTATCTGCAGAATCCCGTTGACCCTATACGAAACTCGTTAGTTATTGGGTGTGTCTGGTAGATTTTAAACCTTTAAACTCTGTTCTATCAATATGCTTTCTCGGTAAAGTATGGTGTAAGTAATGCTAAGAATTATTGCAGTGTAAAGAACGACTCATCATTTTTTTTTAATATAGTCTACTTTTATATTAGTATCGACGTCAGATTTAAATATTTATTTATAGTGGTGAATGTCCGTTGATGATCACGCTCTGCTTTTGTCTCGTAAACTTATTTTTTTTCCCTACGATTTATACTGTCCACTGACTCGTTTCAAGACTTGTTTTATAAAAACAGAAGGTCGCTCGGGTCTAATTACCCTACTGAATCAGAAACACAGCCATTTTTCTAAAAAAAAAAAAAAAAAAAAATAGTCAATACCTCGGGTGTTTTGTGGTCAGTTTTCGTACTTAAAGGTAAAAGGTTTGTTTACAAGATTTTCTACGTGTTTAAATTTATAAACGAGCTTTATGTAATAACAAAATTTGTTTATTAGCCTATAAGTATATCAAAGTTTCTTATTATGTTGTTTTTAGATTGTTTATAAAGAAATATTTATTGACTTAATAAAATATCAAAGGATCTGATTGCGGTTTTTTCAGTTAAACAAGATAAGATTTGTTTCTAAATAATGTACGCAATCCATTGATTTGCAACGTCGCGTCATCTGGAAAATGTTATAAAGCATTTCCCGATCTCGTTAAAACAGCACCAGCAAATTTCTATTGATAGCTAGAGCTATCGATTTTTAGATAGCGTGTAGTAATATTATGACGAAATGTTGATTAGATACGTTCCTCCTTTCCCTCTTTTACATTTAAAAAAAAATAAAAGTTTAAGTTTAAAACTGTCATTTGTAAGTTTATAAATCAATTTAAAATTGCTCTAGCTTATTGAATCTGACCAATTGGACGATATTTATTTTTTATGTCATCTAACGAGCTAATAAATAGTTATAACATTATAAATTCACTGACCGTTTATACATATGATGGCCTTGAATCTCTGCGGTATATCATTAAGTTTTGTTTAACGAGTGAAATAAAGTACAACTAAACATTTCACTCTCGTTAATATGTCGTTTAGAAATATCACATAACATTAATCATAGCTATATTAATTATAATAAATTTTTAGTTTAGTATTTTGTTTCTTACGAAAGACATTTCTAAGAATTAAATGCATATAATTTGAGATTCTTTGTAGTTCTTTGAACTTATTAAGAAACACTTGAGAAAATCGAACTCGATATAATACAATATACAAGTGTTGATTATCTGATTAAATAGCCGTCATCTCGAAGTTGTTAAAATGCTTATTATAGCTGCCACATCGAGGTGTTTGTTTAAACAGGACAGTGTTCTTAGCCTTGAACCTTACCACCTGTCTAAAAGAAAGTGAAGTAGTCTTTCAAAGGACCTTGCTTGCTGTTACTTCGTAGCTGTTAGATGCCAATGACACATCACTACTATTTTCTAAGAAAGAACCTTGATCAAAATTGCGGTTTCATCGGCCGACATTGAAATGTCTAATTATACTTAAAAAAAAAAAAAAAAAAAAAAAAAAAAAAAAAAAAAAAAAAAAAAAAAAAAAAAAAAAAAAAAAAAAAAAAAAAAAAAAAAAAAAAAAAAAAAAAAAAAAAAAAAAAAAAAAAAAAAAAAAAAAAAAAAAAAAAAAAAAAAAAAAAAAAAAAAAAAAAAAAAAAAAAAAAAAAAAAAAAAAAAAAAAAAAAAAAAAAAAAAAAAAAAAAAAAAAAAAAAAAAAAAAAAAAAAAAAAAAAAAAAAAAAAAAAAAAAAAAAAAAAAAAAAAAAAAAAAAAAAAAAAAAAAAAAAAAAAAAAAAAAAAAAAAAAAAAAAAAAAAAAAAAAAAAAAAAAAAAAAAAAAAAAAAAAAAAAAAAAAAAAAAAAAAAAAAAAAAAAAAAAAAAAAAAAAAAAAAAAAAAAAAAAAAAAAAAAAAAAAAAAAAAAAAAAAAAAAAAAAAAAAAAAAAAAAAAAAAAAAAAAAAAAAAAAAAAAAAAAAAAAAAAAAAAAAAAAAAAAAAAAAAAAAAAAAAAAAAAAAAAAAAAAAAAAAAAAAAAAAAAAAAAAAAAAAAAAAAAAAAAAAAAAAAAAAAAAAAAAAAAAAAAAAAAAAAAAAAAAAAAAAAAAAAAAAAAAAAAAAAAAAAAAAAAAAAAAAAAAAAAAAAAAAAAAAAAAAAAAAAAAAAAAAAAAAAAAAAAAAAAAAAAAAAAAAAAAAAAAAAAAAAAAAAAAAAAAAAAAAAAAAAAAAAAAAAAAAAAAAAAAAAAAAAAAAAAAAAAAAAAAAAAAAAAAAAAAAAAAAAAAAAAAAAAAAAAAAAAAAAAAAAAAAAAAAAAAAAAAAAAAAAAAAAAAAAAAAAAAAAAAAAAAAAAAAAAAAAAAAAAAAAAAAAAAAAAAAAAAAAAAAAAAAAAAAAAAAAAAAAAAAAAAAAAAAAAAAAAAAAAAAAAAAAAAAAAAAAAAAAAAAAAAAAAAAAAAAAAAAAAAAAAAAAAAAAAAAAAAAAAAAAAAAAAAAAAAAAAAAAAAAAAAAAAAAAAAAAAAAAAAAAAAAAAAAAAAAAAAAAAAAAAAAAAAAAAAAAAAAAAAAAAAAAAAAAAAAAAAAAAAAAAAAAAAAAAAAAAAAAAAAAAAAAAAAAAAAAAAAAAAAAAAAAAAAAAAAAAAAAAAAAAAAAAAAAAAAAAAAAAAAAAAAAAAAAAAAAAAAAAAAAAAAAAAAAAAAAAAAAAAAAAAAAAAAAAAAAAAAAAAAAAAAAAAAAAAAAAAAAAAAAAAAAAAAAAAAAAAAAAAAAAAAAAAAAAAAAAAAAAAAAAAAAAAAAAAAAAAAAAAAAAAAAAAAAAAAAAAAAAAAAAAAAAAAAAAAAAAAAAAAAAAAAAAAAAAAAAAAAAAAAAAAAAAAAAAAAAAAAAAAAAAAAAAAAAAAAAAAAAAAAAAAAAAAAAAAAAAAAAAAAAAAAAAAAAAAAAAAAAAAAAAAAAAAAAAAAAAAAAAAAAAAAAAAAAAAAAAAAAAAAAAAAAAAAAAAAAAAAAAAAAAAAAAAAAAAAAAAAAAAAAAAAAAAAAAAAAAAAAAAAAAAAAAAAAAAAAAAAAAAAAAAAAAAAAAAAAAAAAAAAAAAAAAAAAAAAAAAAAAAAAAAAAAAAAAAAAAAAAAAAAAAAAAAAAAAAAAAAAAAAAAAAAAAAAAAAAAAAAAAAAAAAAAAAAAAAAAAAAAAAAAAAAAAAAAAAAAAAAAAAAAAAAAAAAAAAAAAAAAAAAAAAAAAAAAAAAAAAAAAAAAANGCCTTCCTGTAAGCCTAGAAGTTTGACAATGGCGTTTGGAACGTCGAGCATGATTCCACTGACGTTTCAAACGCCATTGTCAAACTTCTAGGCTTACAGGAAGGCGGCTCTGAACGTTCAACGTTCACGTTTTTGCGATGAAAACGTCGGCCGCAACCTATTAAATAACTATAATATAAACTTTTATCATTTTCTCATTTATTATTCTAAATTTCTTTTCCTGTTACTAAACAGGAAAATAATATGAAACGAATAATGCAAAATTTTTATAATTATATGAAAATCGACCGGTAATACCTTTAAAGAAAATAGAGAATGAGAAGAGGGTAGCTCGTTGCATGATGTCAGTTTTAGCAGAAGAATAAACTCAGTTCTAGTTTAAAATTTATACAATTTAGTCCCGTTCAATGGAATCTATAGTCCTGTTCATATAGAATGCGTACACTGTAACATCAGTTTTGGAGTAAATAAGTAAAAAAATGAAGTTAATTTGACATAAAAGTGTACACTTTCTGAACGAAACGAACAAACCTTATGATTTAAAATATTTTACACGTAGAATCACGATTTCGTAGTATTAAATATATATATATAAAATAAAAAAATAGCATCATTTTAAACACATTTCAATCATTATTATCATTGAAATTACGCATTTAAAATTATTTGTGAACAGTTGACAGTTGAAGAAGAAATTTTAAATGAAAGTCTCGAAATTGGATGAATTTTAGACAGTAAAGAAATTAAATGAGTTGATAAATAAAGGAAATAAATTTCGTAAATTAAGGTTTAATTTAATATTTTAATTTTTCTTTTCAATGTCATCATTAATTAAATTACATGTTACTAACGAATTGAAGAATATTAAACACTCGTGGAATTTTATAATTTTTTTAAAAAGAAATATGAAACTTTCTTTTAAGACNTAAAAATCATCTATTTTTCCAGAAAGTATATTAAAATAATACATTTTGTTGTACTGTACGTCAACTTTGATAAAAATTCAAACTAGTTCAAGAGTTCAGAATAAACGTAGTTACTAAACATTTTTTTTCCTTGTTTTTGTTTAAAAAAACAGAAAATAAAAAATACGGACTTGTTTTAAGGGATATTTTTTTTGTTATTAAAAACACGAATACGTCACACTACTTACTGTTTAGTCAGCTTCGAATTTGCACGCACGTAGGTGGCGCTGAGGGCGCGAAGGAAAACTTGTCGTCACGTGAATGATGTAGTAAAGCGGCGTGCAATGTAGCTAGCGGGTGGATGACGTTCTCTGTTATGCCAGCGGCGTGAAGCACGAGGAATTACTACAATGTCTGAGCCGTAACATTATAAAGTAAGCATTGTTTCTGTACATTTTATATCTAAAATTGTTAATATTTTTTGTAATGACAGGAAAATTACATTTTTATTTTTATTTTTGAAACTTCAGTTAACGCACGTATTTGTTATTTCTCGTTTTGATTCTGAATAAATATACAAACACTTCGTAACTCACGTGCGTATTAAATGTTTTAATTGATTTTTAACGTTTAAAATGATTTGTTAAAACTGGTTTATCGATTAATTAAACTATTATTAATTTTTTTTTGTATTGTGTGTTTTTAGACTAAAATAATAAATTCTGTTCGTATAAATAATAATAAAATCATGTTTTAAAAATTTCTAGAATATATGGTCTTAGCTAAATGATACATTTCTTGAAAAATGGAAAAAATAAATGTATTTGTATAATGGAAATTCGATCCATCTTTTCTAACTCGATGCATTCTTCTACATTTGTTCTAGAATAAATTCTTCGCATATTTTTATTTTAGAAAAGTTTTTCTAAAAATATATTTTTCAGGAAGAGTAAAATGATAATTTAGAATGTTATATAACGATATACCAGACTGTTATATTTCTAAGGTCAAAGATATTCACGTAGTTTCCTTTTAATCGTTACGTAGCTATACAATAGACACACAACACTTAGCGTACAAGGTACGCTATTAAGTATACTAATAAAATAAAGGAATTATCACGTAGTATAGATCCATTTGAAATTGAATCGTCTCCTTTTGGTTCTTTGCCAAAATATTCTGTATGCAGGCGTGACGCTTACACCCTTCCATTATGGTACCTCTCATCTTTTGTTACTCAATTCTTCAGCTAAGCTATATCTAATTTCACTAACACAACAAGGAAATAGATTTTTAACAGTTTAAAATAGAACCGAGTGACCTATATGAAGTATCTATTCTAGTTCTGAGCGCCTGTAACCTTTAGAAAATTATTTATTAATATCTTGGTACGTTCTATTAGTTATTATTTGCTTTGTTATCTGCAGAATCCCGTTGACCCTATACGAAACTCGTTAGTTATTGGGTGTGTCTGGTAGATTTTAAACCTTTAAACTCTGTTCTATCAATATGCTTTCTCGGTAAAGTATGGTGTAAGTAATGCTAAGAATTATTGCAGTGTAAAGAACGACTCATCATTTTTTTTTAATATAGTCTACTTTTATATTAGTATCGACGTCAGATTTAAATATTTATTTATAGTGGTGAATGTCCGTTGATGATCACGCTCTGCTTTTGTCTCGTAAACTTATTTTTTTTCCCTACGATTTATACTGTCCACTGACTCGTTTCAAGACTTGTTTTATAAAAACAGAAGGTCGCTCGGGTCTAATTACCCTACTGAATCAGAAACACAGCCATTTTTCTAAAAAAAAAAAAAAAAAGAAATAGTCAATACCTCGGGTGTTTTGTGGTCAGTTTTCGTACTTAAAGGTAAAAGGTTTGTTTACAAGATTTTCTACGTGTTTAAATTTATAAACGAGCTTTATGTAATAACAAAATTTGTTTATTAGCCTATAAGTATATCAAAGTTTCTTATTATGTTGTTTTCTTTAGATTGTTTATAAAGAAATATTTATTGACTTAATAAAATATCAAAGGATCTGATTGCGGTTTTTTCAGTTAAACAAGATAAGATTTGTTTCTAAATAATGTACGCAATCCATTGATTTGCAACGTCGCGTCATCTGGAAAATGTTATAAAGCATTTCCCGATCTCGTTAAAACAGCACCAGCAAATTTCTATTGATAGCTAGAGCTATCGATTTTTAGATAGCGTGTAGTAATATTATGACGAAATGTTGATTAGATACGTTCCTCCTTTCCCTCTTTTACATTTAAAAAAAAATAAAAGTTTAAGTTTAAAACTGTCATTTGTAAGTTTATAAATCAATTTAAAATTGCTCTAGCTTATTGAATCTGACCAATTGGACGATATTTATTTTTTATGTCATCTAACGAGCTAATAAATAGTTATAACATTATAAATTCACTGACCGTTTATACATATGATGGCCTTGAATCTCTGCGGTATATCATTAAGTTTTGTTTAACGAGTGAAATAAAGTACAACTAAACATTTCACTCTCGTTAATATGTCGTTTAGAAATATCACATAACATTAATCATAGCTATATTAATTATAATAAATTTTTAGTTTAGTATTTTGTTTCTTACGAAAGACATTTCTAAGAATTAAATGCATATAATTTGAGATTCTTTGTAGTTCTTTGAACTTATTAAGAAACACTTGAGAAAATCGAACTCGATATAATACAATATACAAGTGTTGATTATCTGATTAAATAGCCGTCATCTCGAAGTTGTTAAAATGCTTATTATAGCTGCCACATCGAGGTGTTTGTTTAAACAGGACAGTGTTCTTAGCCTTGAACCTTACCACCTGTCTAAAAGAAAGTGAAGTAGTCTTTCAAAGGACCTTGCTTGCTGTTACTTCGTAGCTGTTAGATGCCAATGACACATCACTACTATTTTCTAAGAAAGAACCTTGATCAAAATTGCGGTTTCATCGGCCGACATTGAAATGTCTAATTATACTTAAAAAAAAAAAAAAAAAAAAAAAAAAAACAAAAAAAAAAA